AGAAAGCAAAATCAGGGGCTGGAGCAATAGCACAGCAGGTTGGGCATTTGCCTTGCACGCAGCTGACCTAGGTTCGATTCCCAGCATCCCATATGGTCCCCCAAGCACCTCCAGGAGTAATTCCTGAGTGCATGAACCAGGAGTAACTCCTGTGCATGGTCGGGTGTGACCCAAAAAGCAAAAAAAGAAAAGAAAAGAAAGCAAAATCAGAAGAGTAGGAGAAATAGGAGACGCAGAAAAAGCAGCAGCAGAAGAAATAGGATAAGCGGACAAAGCAGAAGCAGAAGCTCCTGAAAGAGTAGGGGAAAGAAGAATTAGAAAAGAAGCAGAAGCAGGAGATGCAGGCAAAGTAGGTAAAGCAGAAGAAGCAGAAGCAGGAGCAGGAGAGGTAGGACAGCATAAATAGCAGAAGCAGGAGAAGAAGAAGCAGTAGAAGAAGCAGGAGAATCAGAAGAAGCAAAAGCAAAGGCAGGAGAAACAGAGAAATAGAAGAAGATGCAGAAGCAGAAGAATTAGGAGAATCGGAACAATCAGGCACAGAAGCAAAAGCAGTAAAAGCAAGTGGAGTAGGAGTAGCAGAAAAACAGAAGCTGAAGCAGAATTGGGCAAGGTATGAGAAGCATAAGAAGCAGAAGCACTAGAAGTAGGAGAAGTAGAAGAAGCAGAAGCCAAAAAAATAGAAAAGACAGTAGAAACAGAAGGAGAAGGCAGAGAAGCAGAAGTAGGAGAAAAGAAGAAGCAGAAGCATTAGAGAAAGAGGAAGAGGAAGAAACAGAAGCCGAAGCAGAAAATGCAGGAGATGTAGGAGAAATAGAAGCAGAGCAGAAACATTAGAAAGGTAAGAAACAGTAGAAGCAGAAGCAGAAGAAAGAGGGCATGCAGAAGAGCAGAAGGAGTAGCAGGAGAAGCAGGAGACATAGGAGATGCAGAAGAGAAGCAGACACATTAGAAATAGGAGAGGCAGAAGAAACAGAAGAGGCAGAAGAATTAGGATAAGCATATGAAACAGAAGCAGAAGTTGGAGAAGCAGTAGAAGTTGCAGAAGCAGACAAAGCAGAAGAAGTAGGAGAAGCAGAAGCAGAAGCAGGAAAAGTGGGAGAAAAGGAGCAGAAGCAGAAAAAGGAGAAGCACAAGAAGCAGAAGCAGAAGCTTGTGATGCTTAAGCATGTGTAGGAAAGGCAGAAGGATGAGAAGAAGAAGCAGGAGATGTAGGAGAAGCAGACGAAGCAGAAGGAGTAGCAGGAGAAGGACATGAAGGAGAAGCAGAAGGGGCAGAGACAGAAGCATTAGAAGCAGAAGAAGAAGCAGGAGACGTAGGGGAATCAGAAGCAGATGCAGAAGCAAAATCAGGAGAAGCAAGGGAAGTGGGATAAGCCAAAAAAGCAGAAGCAGAAGCAGGAGAAGCAGAAGCAGAAGAAGCAGAAGAATCAGAAGCAGAAGCAATAGGAGAAGCAGAGAAGCAGAAGGAGTAGCAGAAGAAGCAGGAGAAATAGGAGAAGCAGAAGCATCAGAAGTAGCAGAAGGAAGAAGCAGAAGCAAAAGCTGCAGAAACAGAAGTCAAAGAAGTAGGAGAAGCAGAAGAAGCAAAAGCAGAAGCAGGAGAAGTAGGAGAAGTAGGAGAAGCAGAAGCAGATGTTGCGGAAGCAGCATCAGGAGAAGTAGGAGAAGCAGAAGAAGCAGCAGCAGAAGCAGGAGAAGCAGAAGAAGCAGAAGCAGGAGAGGTAGGAGGCATAGGAGAAGCTAAAGAAGCAGAAGCAGAAGCAGAAGCATTAGAAGCAGGAGAGGTAGAAGAAGCAGAAGCAGAATTCAAAGAAGGTATAGAAGCAGAAGAAGCAGAAGCAGGAGAAGTAGGAGAAGCAGAAGAATCATAAGCTGCAAAAGCAGAAGCAGAAGTCGGAGAAGCAGAAGAAGCAATGGCAGTACCAGAAGCAGGAGAGTTAGAAGAAGCAGAAGAAGAAGCTGTGGAAAGGGAAGCAGAAGCAAAAGCAGGAGAAGCAGAAGACAAAGCAGAAGAAGCTGAAACAACAGGCAGCAGCAGCAGAAGGGCGGGGGAGGAGGGGAAGTGGAAGGAGGAGAAGCAGATAGAGGAGAAGGGTGGTAGGGGGAGAAGCAAGGAGTGGAAAAGGGGGAAAAGAGGGGGAGAGGGAGGAGAATGAGGTGCAGGTGAGGGAGTAGGGGTGGGGAGAAGGGGAGAGGAAGGGGAGGGATGGAGGAGGAGAGTAGTGGAGAGAAGGTGGAGGAGGAGGAAGAGGTGGTAGAGGGGGGTGGATGGGGAGAGGGCTGTTGGGACTGGGAGGAGGTGGAGGAGGAGAGAGAGGGGAGAGATACTGTAGGCGGAGGGGCAGGGGCATGAGGATGACAAGAAAGGAGGCTGAGGAGGAGGATAAGAAGGAAGACAAGGAGGAGGAGGAGGAGGAGGAGGAGGAAGAGACAGAAGAAGTAGCAGCAGGAGGATCATAAGAAGTCACAGAAGCAGGAGAAGAGAAGAAGCAGAAAGAAGCAAGCAGAGGAAGAAGGGGAGGGGGTGGGAGGAGGTGGAGGAAGGGAAAGCTTAGTTGAAGGAGTGGGAGGAGGCGAGAGATAGGAGGAAGGGGAGAGGGATGAGGAGTAGGAAGAGGAGGGGCATGGGGAGTAGGACTATGGGGAAAGAGGTAGAAAGTGGAGGGGGAGGGAAGGAGTGGGAGGAGGGGAGGAGTGGAAGGCAGGGAGGGGATGAGCGGGAGGCGAGGGGGAGGAGGAATATGAGGAGGGAGAAGCAGAAGAGGAGGAAGAGGAGGAGGAGGAGGAGGAGAAGAAGAAGAAAAAGGAGGAGGAGGAGGAGGAGGAGGGGGGGAGGGGGGAGGGGGAAGGGTAGGGGGAGGAAGAGGAGGAAGAGAAGAGGAGGAAGAAGAGGAGGAAAAGGGAGAAGAGGAAGAAGTGGAAGAAAAGGAAGAGGAGAAAGAAAGAGGATGAAGAGCAGAAGAAGGAGGGGAGGAGGAAAAAATGAGAAGGAGGAGGAGGGGAGAAGGAGGAATGTGAGTAGGTGGAAGAGGCAGAATAGGAGGAGGAGGAGGAGGAGAATAAGAAGAAGAGAAGAGGAAGAAGAAGGAGGAGGAGGAGGGGAGAGGGAGGAAGAGGAGGAGAAGGGGAGGGGGAGGAAGAGGAGGAAGAAGGAGGAGGAAGGGAGGAGGAAAAATCTAGCAGGAGGAGGAGGGGAGAAGGAGGAATATGAGTAGGAAGAAGAGGCAGAAGAACAGGAGGAGGAGAAGGGGAGGGGGAAGAAGAGGAGGAAGAGGAAGAAGAGGGAGAAGAGGAAGAAGAGGAGGAAGAAGTGAAAGAGGAAGAGGAGGAAGATGAAAAAGGAAGAGGAGGAGAGAGGGGGAGGGGAGGAAGAGGAGGAAGAAGAGGAAGAGGAAGAAGAACAAGAACAAGAAGAAGGAGGATGAGTAGGAGCAGGAGGAAGAAGAGGAGGAAAAACGAGAAGGAGGAATATGAGGAGGAGGAAGAGGCAGAAGAGGAGGAGGAAGAGGAGGAGGAAGAGAAGAAGAAGGAGCAGGAGGAGGAGAAGAAGGAGGAGGAGAAGGAAGAAGAGGAAGAGGGAGAGGAGGAAGAAGTGGAAGAATAAGTGGAAGAAATATATATATTCTTCCACAAATATATATTCTTCCTCTTGGAGGAAGAATAAGAAGAAGGAGGAGGAAGGGCAGATTGAGGAGGAGGGGGGAGAAAAAACGAGAAGGAGGAGGGGAGAAGGAGGAATATGAGGAGGAGGAAGAGGTAGAAGAGGAGGAGAAGGAGCAGGAGGAGGAGGAGAAGAAGGAGGAGGAGGAGAAGAAGGAGGAGAAGGAGGAGGAGGAGGGGAGGGGGAGGATGAGGAAGAGGAGGAAGAAGAGGGAGAAGAGGAAGAAGAGGAGGAAAAAGTGGAAGAAGGAGAGGAAAAGGAGGAAGAATAAGAAGAAGAAGGAGGAGGAGGAAGAGCAGATTGAGGAGGAGGAGGAGGGAGAAAAAACGAGGAGGAGGGGAGAAGGAGGAATATGAGGAGGAGAAGAGGCAGAAGAGGAGGAGGAGGAAAAGAATAGAAGAAGAACAAGAAGAAGAAAAAGGAGGAGGAGGAGGAAAAGGAGAAGGAGGAGGAGGAGGAAGAGGAGAAGGAGGAGGAGGGGAGGAGGAAAAAATGAGAAGGCGGAGGAGGGGAGAAGGAGGAATATGAGGAGGAGGAAGAGGCAGAAGAGGAGAAAGAGGAGGAGGAGGAGGAGGAGTAGAAGGAGGAGGAGGAGGGGAGGGGAAGGGGGAGGAAGAGGAGAAAGAAGAAGAGGAGGAAGAAGAGGAAGAAGAGAGTGAATAGGAAGAAGAGGAAGAAGTGGAAGAGGAAGAGGAAGAACAAGAATGAGGAGGAGGAGGATGGCAAGAGCAGAAGGAGGAGGAGGGGAGGAGGAAAAAACGAGAAGGAGGAGGGGAGAAGGGGGAATATGAGGAGGAGGAAGAGGCAGAAGAGGAGGAGGAGGAGGAGGAGGAGGAGGAGAGGAAGAAGAAGAAGAAGAAGAAGAAGAAGAAGAAGAAGAAGAAGAAGAAGAAGAAGAAGAAGAAGAAGAAGAAGAAGAAGAAGAAGAAGAAGGAGAAGGAGAAGAAGAAGAAGGAGGAGGAGGAGGAGGAGGAGGAAGAGGAGGAGGAGGAAGAGGCAGAAGAAGAGGAAGAGGAAGAAGAAAAAGAAGAAAACAACGGAGGAGGAGGAGGAGGATGGAGAAGAAAACGATAGAGGAGGAGGAGGAGGAGGGAGAAGAAGAGAGAAGTAGAAAGAAGAAAGCAAGCAAGGGAGAAAGGGGTAGGAATGGCAAGATGGTAGGCAGCTTGGATGGAAGGACTGGCCAGATAGCAATAACTGATTTTGCAAAAATAAAGCCAGGCAGATGTGGCAATGAAATGACTCATTCCATACAAAGAGCAAGTTCCTCTTTGAAGGAGAGACTTGAAAGGCTAAAGAATGAAAAATCAAACTCACAACCTAGTGGAGCAGATTTCGGTCAAAATCCAGCAAGTTCAAAGCCTTCAAAATACAAAAGATCCTGTGGTGTTTTATGAACTAGCAGGAAGCCATCACAGAAATTATAAACGGCCAGAGGTAGGTGAAGTTGACAAAACAAAAATCTACCAGCCTTCAGTATCTAAAACAGGAGAGCAAATACAAAGTAAATACATGAATAAAGATTTCAGAGAAAAAGAATCAAGGATTCTGAAGAACCTAAGAAGCAAAGTCCAAGGTTGGTATTCATACAAAACGGACTGAAAACACAGAGGTTTATTACGATACCTTATTTAGGCAATTATCAGGACTTTCAATTATCCAAAGGGACAGAACCAGTTTTAGCCATTGGTTACTGTCAAATAAAGATATATATTCTGGCATGGGGTATATGTGTTTCTACATGTTATTACTACAATCATGTGTTTAAAGTGCTTTGGTATATTAAATTTCTACGGTATATTAAGTTAAATTTTGGTTCTTAAAGCCAACTTTATACTTTTAAGGTATATGCCATTTTTAAATAGGGTATTTCTCTAAGTTGCTTGATTTGGTTTCTTAATATTCAGTTGGAAACTTTTGTGTCCATATTCATGAAAATATTTGTCAATCTGGGGGGTAAACTTTGGTTCAGGCATGAGAGTAATATTGATCTGATTAAGAATTTTTAAATTTTTGTTTCTATTGAAGGGCATTCTGGGACTAACAAAACTATTAATGATGGTTTTCACGCACGTAATTCCAACACCCCCATCACCATACCTCCCCAAAGACCCCAGTGCAGAGGGGTGCTCACTAAGAAACTGCCCCCTTTGTTATTATTTTTAAGGTACTGGGATGACTACCATGGATTTTTTTAAGTGTTCACTAACTATAAATTTCTAGCATAATCCATATGGTAAAATGAACGTGGTGTATACTTTATAAAAAATTAGTACATTTCTAATATAATCTCTTATCAAAGGTCAGATAAAAATTTCTACCTCCTTCTCAATTCCAGTCATCTTTATATTTTAGTAATTTTAGTAATCTTCTATCTTTGCTGCTGGTCAGTCTTCCTATAGCTGTTAAGATTTGTTGATATTTTCAAAGCTCTAACACTCTTAGTTACTCTTTAATGCCTTAGCATTTTGTTTCATTTAGTTTCCCTCAACATTTATTATTTCATTCCTTCTGCTCATTTGGGTTTAGTTTGTTGATCTTTGACTAGTATCTTAAGGAAGAAGAACAGGGTATTGGTTTCAGATGCTTCTTTTCAAATAGTCTTTACAGTTATAACCTTCTCACTGATAACTGTGTTAAGCTGATGAATTACCAAAGTTTTTACAAAGACTTAATTTAGGAAAACAGAAAGAAATGGGAGAGTCAAGCAGGGAAGCTCTGCATTGTGGGGCGAGTCTCCTAAAGCAGAACTCCTCCAGGAATTTCAGTACTCTATACACCATTTTCCTTCATTGCAAATTACTTTCTATATTTCTTTATGATATATTCTCTGGCCTGTTGCTTAGTTAGGAGTATGTTAATGTCTTCCTTTACCCATGTCCCCTATTTTTGGTTTTGGGGCCATACCCAGTGATGCTCAGGGCTTTCTGCTGGCTCTACACTCAGGGATCTCTCAGTGGGGCTCAGAGGACCACACTGGGTACCAGGGATCAAACCCGGGTCCACTCTCCTTGCTGTACTATTACTCCAACCCTCACTCATAATTTCACCATATGAATAAAATTTTCCCAATTCCCTTTCTGCTGTTGATAGCTAATTTCATTCATCTGAGATGGGAAAAGATGTCTATATTGTTTTGTATAGTTTAAAACTAAAAACTTAAAAACCTTTAAAGGTTTAAAGCATACAATTCTTATTTTTTGGTTCACTCCAGAAAACATGCCTGAGAATCCATATGCTCTGAGATTGTTTGAGAGAGCAATGGTCTCTTCGATTTACTCCACGGATACTGCTGTTCTGTCTTGTGTTTGTGTTGATGCTCAGCTTGTTGTTTTTAGGGACCTCACCCGGAAGTTTGTGGTAGCAGGGATCAAACTCAGTGCCTTGCACAGGCTAGTATGTACTCTGCCCCTTGAGATTAGCCCCTGTCTAATTAATTTTTTTTATCAAAGTAGAGAATTAAACGCTCCATGGTTAGTTCTGAGTTGCCTACTTTTCCTTTTAATACTGTCGCTTTTACATAACATTATCTGAGATTCTGTGCTTAGTTATATATAACTTTGTAATTGTCATCTCTTCTGGATGGCTTGGCCTTTTATCATTCAGAGCTCTTCAAGGCTGTTTACAGAACGATGGAGAAAGGTCGGGAACAAGGAGTCCTGTTCTAACAGAGAAACAGTCATTTAAAAACATAACATTTCTCAGATTGTTGTGAACTTTTGGTTACTTTGGAGAAGGTTTATTTTGCAATTTCAAAAATGTTCTTGTTGCTTCTGTGGAGAAATGGATTTTCAAAAATCCTTAGTCCAAATTCCAACATTGCTCCCTCATTAAAGATTAGGGATGAGGGGTGTTGGGCCACACTGAGTGGTGCTCCAGGGTCCCTCCTGGCAGTGCTGCTGGGGACCATGTGTGGAGCCGGGAATCAAACCAGATGGGTTGCGCACCGAACCATTGTCCTGAACCTTGACTCTAACCCTCAGCCCTTCATTAAAGATTTATTCATTTTATATGTCTATTTTGGGCTGGAGCGATAACACAGCAGGTAGGGCGTGCACACGGCCAACCAGGGTTCGATTTCTCCATCCCTCTCGGAGAGCCCAGCAAGCTACCGAGAGTATCCCGCCCGCACGGCAGAGCCTGGCAAGCTACCCGTGATGTATTCGATATGCCAAACACAGTAACAAGTCTCAAAATGGACACGTTACTGGTGCCCGCTTGAGCAAATCGATGAACAATGGGAGGACAGTGCTACAGTGCAAATGCCTATTTTAGAACTTAAAATTTAAATGACTATCAAATATATATACTTTTTTATCTGAATTTGAGGACATATTCCCTTAAATTTCCTCATATTTGCCTTTCCATGCTTTTTTTTTTTTCTTTTCGGGTCACATCTTGCGATGCACAGGGGTTACTCTTGCTCTGCACTCAGGAATCACCCCTGGAGGTGCTCAGGAGACCATATGGGATGCTGGGAATTGAACCCAGGTTGGCCGTGTGCCCTACCCGCTGTGCTATTGCTCCAGCCCCTACCTTTCCTATCTTTCATGTTGACTGAACTATACTCTTTTCTGCAGACTATGAATTAAGTAATTCTTGATACATTAACCTATATTCAATAAGTTCTTGGTGGCTCTTTCTGCTTTAAGGAATATCATACAGAGGACACCTAAATCCCTGTTCCACGACCACTTTCTGAACACCAACTTCTATCTCCTGTAACCATCATCCAGACACATGGATTTTTTTTTTTCTTCTCCTTAGCTCTTTGGTCACACCCAAATGTACTGAGACACTGGGGGCCCTATGTAGTGTCAAGGATCAATCCAGGGCCTATACTTTTTTTTTTTTTTTGCCTTTTGGGTCACACCCGGCGATGCACAGGGGTTATTCCTGGCTCTGCACTCATGCACTCAGGAATTACCCCTGGCGGTGCTCAGGGGACCATATGGGATGCTGGAAATCGAACCTGGGTTGGCCACATGCAAGGCAAACGCCCTCCCTGCTGTGCTATCGCTCCAGCCCCGCAGGGCCAATACTCTCAAGGGAAGCCCTGAACACGCTGTATTAGCTCTCTGGCCCCAGACACATTGTATTTCCCTCTAAAAGCGCTACCCCGCCCAAGGGTAATCCCTACCCTAACTATTGCTTGAGTCTTAAAAGTCTTTTTCTTACATTTATTGAAAGTCGGTGTCTTCTTCTAAGTATAAAAAAGAAAATAAAGTTGAGAACTCAGAGAAATAAAAGTGATATTATAATTACTCTGCAAGAACTAAGGCTTAAGTCTAGCTGTAGAACAATTTCTGAAGTGAAGGTGTCTGCTCTTACATCAGTAAGAGCAACAGGAAGAAACGTTAGCATATGGAGTCAAAATTTGAAAACTTCCAGAAGTGTAGGAGTACATATTAATTTGATCATTTTATGTATTAGAATGGTATTTTGTGACCCTGACTTATATATTAAAAAGTCTGTATACAATAGGCAAAACTTGCAAGTGTTCTTCAGATAAATTTGAACACTATATAAAACCCTTAAATTTTCAATTTTGACTTTGGATTCTGTGTACTGTCTGCAGTTTAAATATATAAATTTAAATAAATATAGATATTTATAAATATCTTTATATATAAACTAATATACTTGCAGAAAATTTATAATATAAATATTATAATATAGTCAATATATTTACATATAGCAGACATAAATATATAATGAATATAATATACATATATTTATATTTATATATTTTGTATATATTTACATACACATATTTTATATTTATATTTATTGATATTTATTTTATTTATATTTGGATGCACTTTTATATATTTATATCTATTTTATATATGTATAATATAAATATGAAAAGCTTATTAATATATACAAAGCTTGTTATTCAAATATCATCCAATTAGATTTGCTAGCGGTTCTCAGTATTTTAGAATCTCTATACAGAACTGGCACTTGCTAATACTTCTAAGTTTTCTATCTCTTATTTATTTAAAAATAAAAACTTGGATTTCCATAATAATGAACAATGAAAAACATGAAGGTAGTCAAAAATATTTTATGAATTGCACTTAATTTCTCTTTCCTCATCTTGTTTTGCGGCCACACCTGGCTGTGCTCAGGGCTTGCTCCTGGCTCTGTGCTGGGGATCGAATTTGGATCAGCTGAGTGCAAGGCAAGCACCTTAGCCAGTATACTATGTCTCCAGCCAACATCCCCATAACTTTTACTTCTTACAATTCCCAATTTTATTACTGAATCTCAGTTTAATATGTCAGAAATTTGAAAAATTATATATATTTTATGTAAAATGTTAATATATAACATGCAAATAAAATAAATATAAATAAATGTAGCACTGTCCTGTTGTTCATCGATTTGCTTGAGCGGGCACCAGTAACGTCTTCATTGTGAGACTTGCTGTTACTGTTTTTGGCATATCAAATACACCATGGGGTGCTCGCCAGGTTCTGCCGTGCAGGTGTGATACTCTCAGTAGCTTGCCAAGCTCTCCAAGAGAGATGGATGGAGGAATCAAACCTGGGTTCGCCGTGTGCAAGGCAAATGTACTACCTGCTGTGCTATGGCTCCAGCCCATAAATAAATGTATAACTAAATGTATAAATAATTTATATTATATTATTTATATGTGTATAATATAAACATAACATATAAATATATTTATATATACATATATAAATATATTATAATATAAATAAATATAAATATCACTATAATATAAATATATAAATGAATAAATAAAAATCATATAAATATATAATGTACTATATATTATATAGATATATGTATTTTTATATATGTATACATATTTGCATGCATATGTGAATTTGTATTTACACATTTATTTATAAATAAAAATTCATATGTGCATGTAAATATATAAATATATATTCATGTATTAAATATACATATATCTATATATACATATACAGTGTATATACTTATATATTTATCTTATATTTATCTTATACACATACAAATATATATAAATATATAAAATTTCATTTCAAGTATAAATATATAAGTAACATAAATATCCATAAATATAAGTTAAAATATATATTTATATGTATGTAAATAGGAATTTTATTTATATATTTATTTATAAATAAAAATTCATATGTGCATGTAAATATATAAATATATATTCATGTATTAAAATATACATCTATCTATATATACATATACAGTGTATATGTTTATATATTTATCTTATGTTATACACATATAAATATATATAAAATATATAAAATTTCATTACAAGTATAAATATATAAATAAAATAAATATCAATAAATATAAGTTAAAATATATATTTATATGTATGTAAATATATGTATATATAAATATGTCTAAATAGGTGTTAAATATGTAAAAATATATGTGTTTATTATATTCATTTATGCAATTATATGTTATACATTTATATATTATGTTTTAAATTTTATATAAACATATTTACACATTTATATATTTATTTAAATTTCTATATTTAGGTTTTGTAAAAGATTTGTAGTATATATTTACATACTCTGCTGATTGTCCTATTTCTAATTTTTATTTATATAAATATATTTATGAATTTATATATTTATTTGAATTTATATATTTGATATAAATATATTAATATGTTTATATTAAATACAATATAAATTCACATGAATATATTGAATATTTTAATAGTATAGCAAATATTTTAATAAATTCCTAAGTAGTTCTATGAATATATAAATAGGTAATGCAGATTTATATATAAATAAAATAAATAGGATATAACTAAAATAAATATGAATAAAGAAATGATAAACAAAATAACAAATATATAGAAAGATATAATGTATTTATATAATAACATAGAAAAGAGTAAAGAGTCCTAACAGGCTGTGCAGGGTTTGTTGTTGCTTTTTGTTGTGTAGACTACTCTCTTGTTTTGCTGTCTCCAGCCACTTGTTATTATGCCGTGCTTTTTCAACCCGTGTCTGTCGCTCTCCCTGACTTTTCTCAGCATGATCCGTTCCAGTTCTATCCACGTAGCAGCGAACTGCGTGATTCTGTCTTTTCTCTTGGCCTAACAGCATAGAGACCATCCTCTCCTTACCTAGTCATCCTTCCCGGGACGCTTGGGTTGTTTTGAGATTTTGGTTATTGTGAAAAGTGCGGCAAGAAACATAGGAGCACAGATCTCTTTCCTGAATCAAGATTTTGGGCTCTTGGGGTAAAATGTCCAAGACTGGACTTGCTAGGCCATATAGAAGTTCAATTCTCCCTCTCCCTCCCTCCTTCCCTCCCTCCCTCCTCCCTCTCCCTCCGGCTCTCAGTGTCTGTCTGTGACTGTCTCTCTCTCTGTCTCTCTGCCTCTGTCGCTCTCTGAGAAATGTCTATTTTTTTTCAAAAGGGTTGGGCAAGGCCACTAGCCAAGGATGAGGGTTTCTTCCCCCATCTCCCAACACCGCCTACCTATACTGAATAGGACTTTCTGATTTTATTCCTCCCATTCTCCTAGTGATTCTTTGGAACAGAAGTCGTGCAATATAATTATTTGCCCAAAATATTTCAATCGCTTCCGTTTTCACCTAGGAACAACCTTTAATGTTGTACAATCCCTGATCCCCCTCTCAATCGCATCTTCTGTGGCCTTCCTCCCTACCCTGTCCAGTCTTTCTGGCCTTTTGGATCTACTGGGAAAAGTCACTTTTCTAATTCAGGATCTTGTTCCAGGCTGTACCTTCTCAGCCCGAAGCACAGTCTCCAAAGACATCTGGATCGCTCACCCCTGGAGTGCTTTTGAAAATCTCTGAAGCGGAGCCTGGAAAAATAGCACAGTGGGTAACGTGCTTGCCTTGCACCTGAATGACCCAGGTTTGATATCTGCCACTCTATATGGTTCCCTGAGCACTGAAAAATGAGCCAGGAATAAGCCCTGAGCATTGCCAGGTATAGCCTCCAACCAAACAACAACAACACCACCACCACCACCACCACCACCAACAACAACAATAATATCTCTGCTCTTGGCACTTTTTTTTTATAAAAAAAAAGGACTACTGGGATCCGTGATGGTGGGAAATGGACACTGGTGGAGGGATGGGTATTTGATCATTGTATAACTGAAACCCAAGCACAAAACTTTGTAAGTCTACAACTGTGCCTCATGGTGTGTCACTAATAAACATTTAAAAAACAAAAAAGGACCATGCTGATTATCCTATTTCTAATTTCCGTGGCAACACCTACCCTCTACCTAGACCAGGTCTCCCTTATTCTGTAAAACTTACGTTTTTCCTTGGTGCAGCTCACTCCATAGCATCCTTCCTACTTTCCTTTGGAACTTGTGGCTTATTTGATCTCTATAATATATACCCCAGGAAAGCAGGGGTTCGTTGCATTCGTGGATATATCTAACCTCCTAGAAGAGGGCCTTTGGGCTCATCTCTGTCTGCCGACACACAGGAGACACACCTGTCAGTGTTGGACAATGTGCCATGCATAATGATCTCCGTCTTTCAGATGCACATTTCGCTTGCAGACACAGAGCTAAATCGAATTTAGACATGATTCATACAAACTGTGGTATGAGCCCTGAAGACTTCCTATAGGAAACTGAGTCCCAAATTCCCTAGCGCCGTAAACTCACTCAAACTCTATTTAAATGGGATTTTTCTAATACATTTGAAAATAGGACATGTAGATAGTCATTCTCTGTCAGATTTATAGCTAATGAGAAAGCAATATTTTCTAAAACTGAGTAAATCTCGAGAGTCTTTTCCTGTCTGCCACTTACTACAGAAAACTGGCTCCAAGTACCTGGGGATTTCAGAAACAAATACAGATTGTGTTGAAGGAATCCTGATGTCAGAAAGTGGCATTTCTTTTTTTTAAGCTTAGTTATTTTATTATTATTATTATTATTATTATTATTATTATTGCTTTTTGGGTCATACCCAGCAATGCACAGGGGTTACTCCTGGCTCTGCGCTCAGGAATTACCCCTGGCAGTGCTTAGGGGACCATATGGGATGCTGGGAATTGAACCCGGGTTGGCCGCGTGCAGGGCAAACGTCCTACCCACTGTGCTATTGTTCCAGCCCCAGAAAGTGGCATTTCTGACCCAACTCTGCCTCCTAGATAAATTAGGAAGAGTTGTTTCAATGGAATTACAGAGAGCTTCATGTGAAATAGTGAGACAAGGTTTGCTGTCTACAAAGAACACTACAAAGAGTGTCAGCTCCCAGCGCAGCCCAGCTTCTCGATCATTCCCTGCCTGTGGAGCTTCAAAGGTCTCAGCCTCAAAATGACTAAGAGACAGGCAGGAAGTACTGTGTTTTATCAAAAGACGATCTGACAAAGAGAAGGCACGAAAATACATACAACTCCCAAACTTCAGGGGGCAGGCATGCACATCCATAGGAAAATCTTCCAAGTGCATGGGGCACTCAGCGTGAATTGTTAACCTGGAAAAAAAAGAGAAAGAAATTCAATCGCGCTCAAATTAATGCAGTAAAGATGAAGCCCAGTTCTCACTCCAGTGCTCTAGAGAATAAGGGAATTCCCTGAGACCCAAATTCTTAGGAACACAGGGGAAGGAGTAAATGAACTGGGAGGCCTCATAAAGCAGCATCTGTTATTCAGACAGTTAGACAGAATCTGAATCCCAGTTTAGCACCTTTAGAATAACAGATCGAATTTAGTCACCCCAACTAAGCTCCCTTAACTACTTACCGCCCCCGCCCCACCCCCCATGCCCCAGAAGTCTGCAAATACCAGGTCCTGACTCATTCACTCCTGATAGAAGCTAAATTACTTCAGAAATAATTCTCGGCAGGACACCCTAGGAGTTAACCAATTAAAGGAACAAACTGGGCTGGAGCAATAGCACAGCAGGTAGGACGTTTGCCTTGCATGCAGCCGACCCAGGTTTGATTCCTCCCTCCCTCTTGAGAGCCTGGCAAGCTACCGAGAGTATCCCTCCCACCCGGCAGAGCCTGAGAAGCTCCCTGTGTTGTATTCGATATGCCAAAACCAGTAACAACAAGTGTCACAATGGAGATGTTACTGGTGCCCGCTCGAGCAAATCAATGAACAACGGGAGGACAGTGCGACAGTGTTACAGTGCTACTAGAGATGGAAGGGCTGTGGCAGGGAAATCTGTACCCCCATCATGAACAGGTGCAAAGCAGAAGGTGGCAGCACGGTTCACAGCAACTGCCAGGGCTTTGCGAAGAGCGACTCTCGTGGAGCACATGCGCACAATTATGCATCTGGAAATGTCCAGAACAAAACCACAAGGGGAATGCAGGATGTAAAACCCTCAGAAGTCAAGTCTAAAAAGTTCATGCTTTTTTGGGGTGGGGCGGGGGAAGGGAGACAGGAGGGTGGGTAGTGGTGGTTTGAGCCACACCCAGCAGTGCTCAGGGCTTACTCCTGGCTCTGTGTTCAGGTATATGTAGCGTTGGGGATCAAACCAGGTTTGACCATATGCAAGTGCCTTACATCCTGTCCTATCTTTCTGGCTAGACTTCGTTGGGGTGGGGGGCCTCAAATTTCCCTGGCCTAGAAAATACCCTTCTAAGTCGAAAGGGGACCCACACAGCAAAAATTCAAAGTTCTTCAGAGAGGAACTACAGGAGCTAATTCTAAGTAACTTGTGTACCTTCCCATCATATCTGATCCGATTCCTGCGAGGTTCTTACAGTGCAGCTGGTCCTGATTAGCACCTTCAATCCCAGTTAACCCTAAGGAATGTGTTACCTATTGCACAAAGGACCAGTGCAGAAACAATGGACATCACTCAGAGTCAGCTAATGAAAGCAAACATTGGTGTTAGCAAGAACGGGAGGCTCAGAGGCTGAAACGGAGGACCTGCCCGTCAGGAAATACTTTCTCATCTTTTTTTTTGTTTGTTTTTTTGGTTTTTTTTTGTTTTTTTTTGACTCTAGAAGATATTTTTTATAGATTTGTTTGTTGAAAAAGCACAGAAAAGCCTATACAATATTTATGACTAAAACTTTTGAATAACTGAATTTCAGCCCTCACTCCCTTGCCATGCTTTTATTTCCAGTTTCCCCATTTAAACAAACAGAAGTTGGAATTAGATGCCAAGCGCTCGTCTAGTTCTAACAAGTTCTTTGGGCATTTACAAAACGTCTCATGTGTCTCAAACAAACGCTTAATTCTCCAGTCACCCTGCAGCATCCTACCAAATCATCCTTTATTCTTAAGATACAAAGGCGGGTTCATGACTCAAAGAATCTGACACAAGAGAAATGTATTTCATCAAGAACCCCGCGTCTTGTGTTGGATACTTAAAAGGTGCCACCAGGGTTTAATAAAGAAAACGGTGTTCCTTTTCTACACTTATATTAGTATTTCCAATATACTGCTTCTTATGAGTAATGCCAAGGGGAAATTGCTTTATGTCTATCCATCAGGCCCTGGGACACAGCAAAGAAGACGACAAAAAGAGATTTCTGCCAGAGGCTGAAGGTACTGATTCCTGGTTAAGAATGGAACTGATTTATAACAACTGTCCTCTCTTTCTTTTTCCTTTCATTCTGTATCTTTTCTTTGCTTTTTTTTGGTGTTGGGGCCATACCTGGCGATGCTAGAGGTTACTCCTGGCTCTGTGCTCAGGGACCACTCTTGACCTTGCTCAAGGGACCATATGGAGTACTAGGGGTTGAACCTGGGTCAGCTGCATGAGAGGCAAGTGCCCTGCCCACTGTGCTATCTCTTCGGCACCACTTTCCTTTCTTTCTTCTTTTCTACTTGTGCTCTTCCACATTAAGCACTGAGCAGAGAGAAGAAGGCAGGTGTCTGTGGGGCAGGGTACTTCCGGGCCAGATCACGCCCTGCTCCTCAGACATGTTATCTACACACCTGAATGCTCGCTGATTTCTGGTGCTATAGTATCTTCTCTTTTTGCTGTGCTCCACCTCCAGACAACTTAAGTCCTTCTGCAGAGCAATGGCCCCACCAAGTCTAATATAGTCACCACAGTCTATGCCAGAGACAAAAGTGTCCTCCCCCCATTGGTTTGTTCTTGTGACAAGAGTCTTGAAGTTCATGAACTTAGCACATTTTTTATTTAATTTTTTTTGCGTTTTTTTTTTTTAGGTCACACCTGGCAATGCACAGGGGTTGCTCCTGGCTCTGAACTCAGGAATTACCCCTGGCGGTGCTCAGGGGACCATATAGGATGCTGGGAATCGAACCCAGGTTGGCTGAGTGCAAGGCAAACACCCTACCCACAGTGCTATTGCTCCAGCCCTCTGAACTTAGCACATTTTTAATTGTGCAGTATTGTACTGTGAATTAGTAAATATTGACAGATATTACTCCAAACAAAACATACCAAATGACTACAGGTCAGGATCAGACAGTATAGTGGGCGGAGCGCTTTCCTTGCACTGGGCTGACTCCGGCTGGATCCCCAGTGATTCCTATGGATCCCTGGGATCACTAGGAGTGATCCCTGACCACAGAGCCAGGAGGAAGCTCTGAGCACTGCTGGGTGTGACCCCCAAATAAGATGGCTGCAACTGATGTACCAGGAATAGCACACCACACTGGATAGGAGGCAAAGTAAAAGGCAACCAATCTCGATTAAAAAAATATCAACATACAAGGCTTAATCTGTAACAACGTGCTAGTAATCTCTGATACAAGGGCTCAATGGTTCCTGGGTGAGATACAACAATCTTCACACACTTTCTTCTCAGGAAATCTTTTTTGATCATTCTTAGCCAATTATTCATAACAAGGAATACACAATAAATTGTTTAGGGGCTGCTATGGGGGCAGGCTTGGGTGGTGGTTGGGAAAATCGGAAATAATGGTGGTGGGAAGGTGTAAGAGTGGTGGGATGGGTGTTGGATATTGAACGGAATAAATCATCATGAACAACTTTATAAAAAGAAAATTAAATAAAAAAATTAAGATATCGGGGCTGGAGCAATAGTACAGCGGGTAGGGCTTTTGCCTCGCACGCGGCCGACGCGGGTTCTATTCCCAGCATCCCATATGGTCCCCTGAGCACCTGCAGGAGTAATTCCTGAGTACATGAGCCAGGAGTAACCCCTGTACATCGCTGGGTAAAGGTAAAAGGTAAAGGCCCTCCCGTTGTTCATCGATTTGCTTGAGCGGGCCCAGTAACGTCTCCATTGGAGACTTTGTTGTTACTGTGGTTGGCATATCGAATACGACACGGGGAGCTTGCCAGGCTCTGCCGTGCGGGCGAGATACTCTCGGTAGCTTGCCAGGCTCTCCGAGAGGGGCGGAGGAATCGAACTCGGGTCAGCCATGTTGGCTGCATGCAAGGCAAACGCCCTACCGCTGTGCTATCGCTCCAGGGTTGCAACCCACCAACATCGCTGGGTGTGACCCAAAAAAGAAAAAAAAAATTAAGATGTCTATGAATCCTTCTTTACTAAATTTGTAAACCATAACAACTTACTATGTGTTCTTGCATATTTTTTCCGTTTGTATATACTCATGCATTCAAAGTGCTGTTTATTGAATATTGTTGCTAGTGAGAAAAAAAACATTAGAATAAAGTGAAAATCTATCAAACAAAGTGATATGAACGTTCTTAATGTTTCTGTCGACCCTAGGATATATTCTTTGGAGAATTATATATTCAGCTTTTTTTGCCCATGTTCTGACTGAGATGTGTGATTTTTCTCCTGTTGTTGTGTGAGATGTTGTGTGTATTCTGGATATCAATCGGCTTGTGATATGTGAAATAAGAAAATATTCTTTCCAATATAGGTGACTTTTTAGGTTTTGTGGTACTGAATGTCTCACTTATGTTTTCTTCTATGTATTTCCTGGTTTATAAATTTTGTGCAATGTTTTGTGTGTGGTTCACAACGGGAAAAATAATGAAGGTGTCTAGAGTCCTGTGAAAAGGTATTGAGCATCATAAGTGAGGTCCTCTGCAGCGCCAGAGTGGGCATCCGAAGAGCAGCGAGCCGGCCACAGGTGCCACCTGCCATGGCTGCCCTCAAAGACAAGGTGGCTGCGGAAATGGCCTGTGTGGAAGGCCAGAGCACCGTGCCCACGAGAGCAGCACTTCTTTGTTTGACTTTGCAGAGAACCTACCCTCTGCTACTCAACAGTTTCCAGTTGCCGTGCATTCCACCACCTAAAACCAAGATGCATGACTGCCACTAGCCCCACCACACCACACGTCGATATTCCGTACACAACATGCCACTCATGGCCCAGGCCTCAGAATGTCATGCGCAAGCTTGTCTCTGGTCCCCTTTGGCTTCTCTCCTGCCATGGCCTCCTCCTCCGTGGTCCTCTGGCGCCAGCCACACTAGCTCCTCACTGCTCTTCCAGTGTTTTCGGCTCTCTTCCCCTGGGGTCTCTGGCTGCTGACACCCGGCCGCCCTCTGCTCTTGCCACTCCATGGCAATGGCACTCTCTTTGCCCATCAGAACAAACGCAT